AAGAAGATAGTCCAACTGTTTTCAACGTAATTATATAAAGATACGTACAATATAGATAAACATAATTACATTTGTAAGGAAATATATTAATATCTCAAAAGATTTATGCATCGTCATCATCATCATCTTTTTCGTTAACATCATCATCATCAGCATTCTCATCATCGTCATCAGCATTGTTGTCATCGTCATCATTACCATTACCTGATTGACAACCATTGTTCTGTTGCCTTCTTTTAGGACTGGTCCGTCTGGTGGTCTCTGGATTCTTGGGGGTGGAGCAACCGGTGGTACGTCATCTGTCAATCAATCAATCAATCAATCAATCAATCAATCAATCAATCAATCAATCAATCAATCAATCAATCAATCAATCAATCAATCAATCAATCAATCAATCAATCAATCAATCAATCAATCAATCAATCAACCAACCAATCAACCAATCAATCAATCAATCAATCAACCAACCAACCAACCAATCAACCAACCAACCAACCAATCAACCAACCAACCAACCAATCAATCATTCATTCATTCATTCATTCATTCATTCAATCAGCCAGTCAGTCAGTTTTCATTCAATCAATCAATTAACTACTGACAATCAATCAAACAATCGACCAACCAACCGACCTTCTTGTATAACAATCGACTCCAGGTACTTTATTGGGTTTCCGCTAATTGCAGCTCGAGGTCTGTAGAATAAAAATCATTTCATCATCGGAATTATCGTCGTCGTCGTCACGATCATTGTAATTAATCATCATCAACAAAACCTCCATACAAACCGTCATCATCATCATCATCATCGACGTCACTCACAACGGCCTAGGCCTTTCAGAAGCCAATAGGGTTCCGTCACTAATGTTTCGACATCCACCATCATCGTCATCCTCATCATTGTCATCATCATCTTCCTCTTCTTTTATTGTTGCTGCTGCTGCTGATGCTGATGTGGCTGGCGGAATGGTGATTGGATTCTGGTAGGCTGGACGAATGATGATGTTGGTCAGCGGTTCCTGTGTGACGACGACGATGATGATGAAGATGACCAAGATGGTGGTTATGATGATGATGATGATAAAGACGATAACGAACACAAACGCTGTTTTCTTTCTGTTGCTGTTGTTGCTGCTGTAACAGCTGCTGCTGCTGTCTGTTATTGTTTTTGGCAGCAAATTCTTTCTGCCTACCAATAACTTTCTGTGGTGTGTTTGATGACGTCACTGGCGGCTGTTGTGGTCGCGGGGGAGACGCCTGGACCTGGCTACTCGCTATTTCTGGAATTAATGGTGACGACGACGATGACCATGATGCTGATAATAGTTGTAATAATAATAATGAGGATGGCAATCAATCCAATCAAACAAATCAGAAAATTTTCCAACTTACGAATAAGTCTTCCCATCTTTTGGACTGGTTCATTTTTTCCGAAGGGTGGAACAATTTGATTATTATCATTATTATTGTTATTATCATTACTTGGCCTGTTCAGTATGCGACCTTCACCTTCTTGTATCCGCTGGAAGTTGTGTCTCAAGGTCGACTCCTTCTGCTGCACTGTCGGATTGCTGCTGGGTAGTGGGGAAAATAATAATAATAATAATAATAATAATAATAATAATCTACAGATCAACCTAAGAAATCATATTTAGTGCACTAACTTGAGCTTGCCATTGGGTTTAACATCATCTTCATTATCACTGCCTTCATATTCGTACAATGGCTCGTGTGTCTCCCCTGATATTGGCGGTCATCATCAGAAATTATCATCACAATCATTCAACAAACCAATTATTCAACTAACCAATCATTCAACTAACCAATCAAACAGCCAACCAACCAAACAACCAACCAACCAAACAGCCAACCAACCAAACAGCCAACCAACCAAACAGCCAACCAACCAAACAGCCAACCAACCAAACAGCCAACCAACCAAACAGCCAACCAACTAAACAGCCAACCAACCTCTCCGAGCCCTGCGATGTCGATCGATGTGATCCTTCAATTGAATCCTCGACTGCCTCTCACTGGGTTGGTCCTTGATGAAGGAGTGCCGGAGCAGCTGATCAGTGTTTGGCCGGCTTATGTGGTCCTTTATCAGGCAGACCTCAACGAAGCCAGTGAACTTCTTACTCCTTTAATTTACCATTACCCTCATCATCATTATCATAACCCTCATCATCGTCGTCATCATTATCATCATCGTCGTTGTTACTAACCTCGACATCAACGTTATGAGAATTATCGTAAACGACTAAACGAAACCAGTCGCAAAGTAATTTTAAATTAATTATACACAATAATATAACTAATTATAGGCTATGATATCAATTTACCAACCATTTTTTGGACTTGAGTCTGGGTGGGGGATTTCTAGGGATGAGGAATAGTGCCCTCATGGGGTGCATTTCACAGAGGGCTGAGTGGATGTGTAAATGAATGAATGAACGAACGAATGGATGAGTGAATGAATGAGTGAGTGAATGAATGGATGAGTGAGTGAATGAACGAATGAATGAGTGAGTGAATGAATGGATGAGTGAGTGAATGAATGAATGAGTGAATGAATGAATAAATGCGTATAAGACTTTTAAGAGTAAATGGATGAATGAGTTCATATGCACAATGTCAGTATTACTACCATATTATTATCATATCATCTGGTCAACATCGTCATAACTGTTATTATCATTATCATCATCAGCATCATCAGCATCAGCATCATCAGCAGCAGCAAGAGTAGCAGCCTCACCAGCAACAGCACCATCATCATCATCACAATTGCAAACAAACACGCAGTGAAGAGCTGTTTCAACGACTATATTCAGATAACGAATCAGAGCAACATAAGACATTAATCACCACCACCCCATCATCATCATCGTCGTCGTCATCATCATCATCATCGTCGTCATCATCATCATCGTTTTCAAAGTATTGGCAAGTCATGAATAATAAGAATAATAATGAGAAAAAATAATAACAATAATTATGAATAATAATAATAATAATAACAAGAAATAATTACATAGCATACTTGTTTTACATATATCAATTAACAGTAATTATTAACAACCACATAGTAATTATAACAAACAGAAAAACATAATGTTGTTTGTCTTCCTGGTTTAAACAACCCACATAAATCATCATCACCATCATCATCATCATCATCAACGTCATCACCATCACTGACTGACGTCATTATCATCATCATCATCGTCATCGTAATTACCGTCATCACAACCATCACCATCGTCGCCACAATTATCATCATCACCACCACCATCATCATCATCACCATCAACACCATCCTCATCATCAACATACGTGGTTTGCCTTCAGCCATCTCAATAGCGGTGATGCCCAAAGACCACAGATCACTCTATGAAGAAGACGATGATGAAGAAGATGAAAATGATGAAGAAGATGATGATGATGAAAATGATGATGATGGTGATAAAAATGATGGAGGTGACGATGATGTGATAACGATGATAATGAACAGGATGATGAAAAAGTAAGACAGGCAAATATGTTGCAGCGGTCTGTCTGACAAAAACAACAATAGATAATGATAATGAAAAAATTACAACGAAACTGACTGACTCTGTTTGTCTCAAGAGTAAAGAAAGATATAACTAAAAAAATGTTAATGATGATGATGATGTCGACGATGATGATGACGCAAATGATGAAGACGATGATGATGACGAAGATGGAGATGACGATGATGGCAACCTTATGATCGTAAGCAGCGTCGGGATTCTCATTGCAGGCTATCACTTCTGGAGCCATCCTACAGTCATCATAACCGTCATCATCGTCGTAGTCGTCGTCATCATTACAATCATTATCATCATCATCATCGTCGTCGTCATTAGTAATAGTATTTAAAAGGAATTTGATGTTAATCATCTGCTAGATAGATCATAGATGAATTGATAAAAATGTTTATTATTTGCATAATAACCAACCAATCAATCAACTAACCAATCAACCAACCAATCAACCAAACAACTAACCAATATGGAGTGCCAATGAAGGTGTTTCGCCTTCCAACCGTTTTATCCAGCTGGGCACTGACACCAAAATCAACTGAATTTTATCAAAAAAATTTGGCAATTCCGTATTATGACTTAGCAACTTTGTATTAGTCAGAAGCTAAGAATAAGACAACTGAACAGATGAATGAATGTATGAATAAATGAATGAATAAAAAGATGAATGAATAAAAGAATGAAACAATAAACCAACTCAACCAATCAAAAAGCAAATCTAAATGAGCATAACCTAGTCTCGCAAAGCAACAACATAAACCATTTTAAAAGAAGCCCGACTTACAATTTTCAGAAACTAATCAAATGCACCGACCTAATTTAACTTCTGCTTCATCTGTCAGTAGGACATTTTGACCCTTGATATCTCTATGGATGACTTTATTGTTGTGCAGGTGTGCCAGACCCCTTAGAATTTCACGGCATAAGTAGGCTATCCATTCCTATATACATGTGTGTGTTGTGTGTGTGTGCTTCTGTGTGCGTGTGTGTACGTGTTTTCCTGCGTGTGCGTGTTTGTTAAAACATGTTGTTTTATTTTGTAATATTCTTTGACATAAAAAAAAGATTAGATGATCAATTAAAAAATATAAAGAAGTCATCTTTTATGACTATTAAGTATTTGAAACTGGATAAAAACTAGACGGGATCCTCAAAAAATAATTTTTAAACAAATTCTAGAAACAAAAAATCATTAATTTATAATAAATGTAAATAAAATTGTCAATTAATCACGCACTTTACTTTCTTTTAGAAAAAAAAAACAAAAAAGACAACAAATTACTTACTAAAAAATGGGAAAAACTGAAAATAGTAAAATATTTCCCCACTAACTTCCCTAAGAGAATTAGATTTGGTGGACCTGATCAAATCAGTGATGGAGCCAGCACCGCAAAACTCCATAACCAGCCACAACTGATCATCCTTGCCAGTGGAACTCTTTTTTATAAAGGCCCCGTAATACGTTGCAATGTTACGATGATGTGAGTACTGCGTCATGTGGTGAAAATTAGACTTTGACGATGATCACGGTGATGATATGACATGATGAAAATGGTGATGGAAGTGTTGTTGTTGATGGTGGTGGTGTTGTTAATAGTGGTATAAATGACAATGATGTTAATGATGATGATGAACCATGATGAAATTGCTAAGGATGATGAAAATTTTTTTTCATTTTTTCAAGTACCCTTTTCAAGACATTTATCTCCAGTTTAATTTCTTCCACTTCATCCTATTAAATAATAAATTGATCAATATTTTGTATAAAAGTTTCATTAAATTCTCTTTTAGACAAATTTAATCATTAAAAAAAATAATTATTCTAATATTTGGACATGAAATCATCTTAAACTCAAAAAGAAGATTAACTGATTTTTACACTGAATTAAAAAATTAAATAATTTTAAAATTAATTAATTAAATTCAAATTGTTGTTGCAAAACTAAACCAACCTCTGTAACATTCATGACTTTAATGGCAGCTAACTTTCCTGTTTTTGTGTGCTTACCCTGATTTATAAAAAAAAATATTAACTTTATGAAAATTTTTGTTTCATTTACACTCTTCTTACAAATACCATTATCATTAGATTAAAAATTAATTATTATTTAAAACTTTATATTGTAAACTAATCATATAATAGTTTTAAAAGTGAGACTTTATTTTAGCATTTAGAAAAATGATTTTCTAAGATATTCTTATGACAAATTAATTTCTAATTATTTATTAAATAATTAAACAAATTGTTTTATAGTAAATAGTCGTAAACTTGACTTTTATAACATAACAAAATAGACATAAGATGTCCACAGATAGACAATAAAATGAAAATGAAAGATGACACAATTTTGATAATAGCACAATTAAAAAGTAACATTAAAATTTAAATTGAATGAATGTTACTGTTATGAATGAATGAATGAGTGGATGAATGAATGAATTAACATAAATAAAAGCAAAAGGTAAGTAGGCAAAGAAAATAAATTCAAATTTGTAAAAAAAATTAAAAAACAAAACAAACTTTGTAAACTTGTCCATAGGTTCCATTGCCAACAACTTCAATTAAATCAAAATAGCCTGCAGGATCCTAAATAAAAAAATAGCAGGTTTTAAATTTTAATTATAAAAATTAAAAAATTATTTACATATTATAATTATTATAACAATATAATATAATTAAAATTAAATATATGATTAAAAACTTAAAAGTCAATCATATCAATATTCAATAAATATTGTTTAATTATTAATTAATTTTTGTCTTGTTTTTCAGAACTTTTAATTTTAAATTAAATCACTAAAATTCCTATTAATTACTAATTAGATTAGATAAACATAAGAGATAAGACACAAGGGATTATTAAAATTTAAAGTTAAAAAAAGCTAAGGTAAGCAACTTAATTGGGACATAAAAATGGCTAAAAAATTATCTAAAAATAGGGAAACATTATACTTTCAAAGTGGTTAAATCAATGTCCTCGATGTCGGCCGAAACCGCCATTTTATTTATCTTAAATATATTTCTATTAAATCAATTTCAACTTATTTATTTAAATCAGTATTTTTATTTATATTCCTCCTTAGCGGAACTCAAATACAGTGCTGGCCCGTTCAAAATCTCAATTATTTTAATTTCATCAGGTATAATAATAATAAATATTATGACATAGTAAACGATTAATACATTAATTATATTATTCTAATTAGTATATAAACTAATATTATATATATATATCAATATTGGCATATTTGTATGTATATGTATGATATATT